CCCGCACCCAGGAGCCCACGCCCGCACCCAGGAGCCCACGCCCGCACCCAAGAGCCCACGTCCGCACCCAGGAGAACACACCCGGACCCAGGAGCCCATGCCCATGCCCAAGAGCCTACATCCACCCACAGGAGCTTACATCCACTTCCAGTAGCCCACACCTGCCCACAGGAGCCCGTGCCCACACCCAGAAGCCCACACCCACATGCAGAAGCCCTCGTCCACTCTCAGGATCCCACGCCTGCCCACAGGAACCCATGCTGTGCCCAGGAGACTACATCTGCCCACACCTGCCCACAGGAGCCCCTGCTGTGTCCAGGAACCCATGGCTGCAGGAGCCCACGCCCTCAGGAGGCACAGCAGAGCGAGTGTAAACACAGGAGGGGCCAAGGCTGGAGGTGGGGAGGAACAAGGAGGAGGTGAGCAGGGCGGCGGTGAGCTGACTGGTGACAAGCGCAGAGCTCAGTGAAAACCTGAAATGCCTGGACCGTCAGGAGGTGAACCAAACGGTATCTTAGTAAGACTGTTGCTGAAAAAGCACTGCTATTGAAAATGAGGGCATCCACTTGGCGGTACTGCCCGCACCTCCCTCAGCACAGACACCGTCCCGACCTACCAGCACCTGCAGGGCAGATGGGTGCCCGAGCCTCGGGTCACGGAGGGCAGCCCTGAGGGAGGGGGCTTGGTGCAGGGCTAGCACGCAGGAGGGTGACCCCAGGGGCTCGCTGGTGGAGGGACCCAGGACAGTCCACAGCCGGAAGCCCCATCTGGCCTCCCTCCAGGCTGATGAGGGTTGCTTGTCGATGCAGGTGGCTTCTAGCCTCAAACAGCTCTTCGGAGGGCCATCGGCACTGTAGCGGGTGGGGATACTTCTCTGTCATTTCCATCATCTGGTTTCCCTTCTTTTAATTGTTGTTGAGAACACATTTGCCAAGTCACTACTCTGTGTGTGTGCGTGCAATTCAATCAAGTCAATTACATCAATCATGCTGTACAACTTATCGCTAGCTCCCGGGAGCCCAAGTTTCCATCCATCGGCATACGTCAAACCTCAGTGTGACCAAAACCAGGTCTCCCTTGTCCTGCCCCCAACCCCATCAGGACACACTGATTTCTACAGCCTTGCTTAAGTAGAGGGTCAGGACGACTCTCAAGGGGTCTTGGACTGACCAGCGGCTGGAGTGGCGAGCTGCGGTCCAGCAGGGAGGAGGGTGACGGAGGATGGAGTAGGGTCACCCGATTCTCCAGGATGGACTGCAGGGCATCAAACGGGAGTAAAGCGGCTCCACAGAAGTCACTCTGTCCTCACTGTCTCCACACTCTCCATCCTCATGTGACCAACTCATTTCACTGAGGCTTCTGCTTTCACAGTTCAACCACGGGAACAAGTCACAACTTTCTGTTTATGGGGGAGTGATGGGCGTTGACAGGGCAGAAGACAGGATGATCGCAGACTGCCAAAGGCCCAGCGCATTCAAGTCTATGACTCAATCATCTCAGCCTGGCTGCAACTGAGGAAATGACACCCAGAAGCTCTTGAGGTCAACCAGCAATCGTGCAAGCTTCACACGTTGTGGCCATTAAACATAAGCAGAGGGGAATAGTCTGACCACCCAAATTGCCACACTTTAGTAATCTGATCATCAAGAAGAAAGAAAAAAAATCCACTTTAACAAAGGACACTTTCTCCCTTGTAGTCCTTCCTTCCTGGTGAGGGAGGCAGTGGACCAACCCCAAGTACACAGCATGAGGACATTTGCCTCTCCTCGATTCCACACGGAAGCTGTTACACGAGGAAAGAGGACATAAGAGTGACTTGGATGTGGAAGTCCTGGGGGCCTTGTTTAAGAGCAGGTACGCGAGACCAGCCAGGCGCTCAGGCAGGGTGAGAAGGCTGGTGTGTGGGGAGGATGGACAGATGGAACATCAACAGTTTCCTGAACTTGGACGACTGTGTCCCGAGTCTTCACAACAGCGCCAACCAGTGGTTCTGCCTTCACAGACGGTGCCAAGCACCCCAGGCATTTATCTCATCTGTCTTCACAGCCCTAGACAGGACCTCCTTCGTTACCCTCACGACACTTGGGAGAAATGGACGCTGAGGTTTACGTTCCCCAGCCCCACAGCTCCTAATCAGCACAGCAGGTGTGAATCCAAGTGGGGTGACTCTCAAGTTCAAGGTTATTCCACCTGCAGCAAGAAGAGAGGAGACGGGATGATGAGCAGTACAGAGCAGGGGCTGCTCCCGGTGTGATCGTGGCGAAACCATGGAGACTCTGCACACAGCACCACTCTCCTCTTCGTAACTGAGAAGACTGTCTCAATGGCTGCAAACAGAAAGACTGAGGACAGCCCTTGCTAAGGAGGAACCCAAGACGATCTCCAGGCTGGACCAGAACGCCGAATAGAGTGTGCACTCTTCCCTGCAGGGAGGGACCAGATGGCTAGCGGTCCTGTAAATGCCCTTAGTGCCCATCAGCCTAGTTCTCAGCCCAGAGAGGTGAACTCTGCAAAACCTGCACCTCGCTCCCAGCGCCTGGGTGCCCACGGGCCCAAGTGAAAGAAGGCCATGGGCTGCGTACAGTCTCCTTGGGTCAATATAGCCCATTGTGACAGACAACCAGGTCAACAACCAGGGGAAGCAAACTCTTTTCAACATGTAAGTGTGAGCCCAGAGCATCAGTCAGTCCATAAACCCCTATCAGTCAAGTGGGAAGCGCTACCGTCAGAAAGGAGAGAAGTCCCTGGCTAACGGAGCCACAGCTGACAGCGGAGACACGGCTGAATCCGTATCTTCTGAGGCAGGCGGCTGGGACAGAGCTGTGCCGGCCGTGTCAGGTCCGCTGAGATGGGTTTAAGGGCAGGGGGGATGCTGTGTCATCTCTGATTGGCTGACGGTCTCATTCTGGTGGGAGGCCAGACGTGGGCGTGGTCTTGGTGAGTCTTTGTATTAGAGACAAGGGGGAGTAAAGGACAGAGAGTGGGTCACAGGAGGGTAGAGCTGTTCAGGACCATGCTGGGAGCCACAGAGCATGGAGACAATGGCAGGAAACGAGGACAGTCACACTGGACTGGGCTGCTGGCTCTGACCCAGGCAGGGGTCTCCCTCGCCCAGAGGGCACTTCCAGAGGGAGGTCAGAGAAAGCCCAGACAAGAAGGTGAAGTCTAGGAAACATGTGAGGCCTCAGAGTGGGGCGCAGAGCGGCCTGCCCATCATAGGGTCATCTTCCATCACTGAGACAGGGATGCAGGAGCCCTCAAGCAG